CCTGAGAAGTGTGAGTCCCTGAGAGTCACATCGATACCTACACTACCAGGTCTGGGGCCGTGGATTTCAGCCGGTCTGTCTGGCCTTTGGTAAGGACCATGCCGTGCCACAGGGGCAGAGCTGCCTGGAGCCTGAGCAAGTGTGAGGCTGCTGTTGGCACTTAAATGTGGCACCTTAGAATGCCCAGGGGTGATGTTCACAGTCACTCTGCCAGGAGCTGTAAAGCACAGGGCAGAAATGGAAATTCTTATCTGGGCTTCTGATTCTTTTTTCCTAGTGATGTCCCACACTTTAGAGACCCTGGGTGGTGCAAATGGTTAACACACCCAGCTGCTAACTAAAAAGTTGGAGATTTGAGTCTACCCAGGTGCACCTCAGAAGAAAGGCCTGGCGATCTACTTCCAAAAAATCAGCCATTGGAAACCCTATCGAGCACAGTTCTACTCTGACACATATGGGGGGCCACCATGAGTTGGAATTGACTCAAAACAACTGGTCCCCTACATTATGACTTCCTTCCAAGATACCGTTAATGCCATGAGCACATTCTGGAAAAAATATATTGCAGCAACTAAATAGCTAGATTAGAAAATTGTTTCTATTCTTAAACTTTACACCCCAGGCCAAACATAGAGTACATATTTAATGAAACAGGAGTGACTTGTACTGTGCTTCAACTATTTATACATATCTTATATGCCTTTTCATCCTCTTGATAGTAAAATCTTTGAGGGTAGGCCCTTGTACTCAAAAAAGAATGTTGGATTGAGGACTGGTTCATTTCACCCATTAACTCACCCATTCTCACAATAACCTTGTGGTTATTGTTAATCTTATTTGGGGTCTAGGGAACTGAGACAAAGGTGACTCAGCTAGAGGGAGGCAGAGCAAGGATGAGGAAGTTCCCACTGGGGGAACTGACGTGCTCAGGAGCTCACAGCTTTCTGCAGCAGGGTAGAGACTGACTCCTGGCTGGCCCTAGGCTCTCGTTCCACTGCAATAAGCTTTGCAGACTGAAACGCTACAGCATAAGGAGCCCTGGTGGCACAACGGTTAAGCACTCGGCTACCAACCAAAAGGTTGGTGGTTCAAACATGCTCAGTGGCTCCTCAGGAGAAAGACCTGGCAATCTGCTCCCATAAAGATTCCAAAACCAAACCAAAACCATTGCCATGGAGTTGATGCCAACTTGTAGCGACCCTACAGGACAGAGTAGAACTGCCCCATAGGGTTTTCAAGGAGCAGCTGGTGGATGTGAACTGCCGACCTTTTGTTTAGCAGCTGAGCTCTTACCACTGCGCCACCAGGGCTCCCCCTAAAGGTTACAGCCTAGAAAACTCTAGGGGACGGTTCCACTCTGTCACATGGGGTTGTTATGCAACAGAATGGCCTTGAGGGCACCCAGCAACGACAACATGCTACAGTGTAGAAAAAGGCACGCGTGTATTCCTTACAGGATAGAGTTCTAGCAGAATCTTCTAACCGGAAGAGAAAAAGATGCTGCGTTTTCAGACCTGGCTACAGAGGTCATGCTTCTTCATAGGCTAACATGCTTGGAATATGCTCATTTCTCACACACAATAACAGCAGGCAGGCTTACGAGTTCATTAGCTCGCTTCTCTTCAGAGAAGTTCCTTCCTTGGAGGTCTCAAGGTTGCTTTGCCTTCTATTTTCTCAGGTGCTCCTCTCCATATTGGAGGCTTGGTGGCGCAGTGGTTAAGAGCTCAGCTGCTAACCAAAAAGGCTGGCAGTTCGAATCCACCAGCTGCTCCTTGAAACTCTATGGGGCAGTTCTACTCTGTCCTATAGGGTTGCTATGAGTCGGGATGGACTCCACAGCAACGGGTTTGGCTCTCCGTATCAGACCCCCCGGTCTGTTGTCACCATGTGCCATGGAGTCACGCTGACTTAGGGTGCCCCCATGTGTGTCGGAGGAGAACTGAGCTCCACAGGGTTTTCAATGGCTGTGACCTTTTGGAAGGAGTCCTGGTGGCACAATAGTTATAAAGCGATCAGTTGCTAACCAAAAGGTCGTTGGTTTGAACCCACCAGCCACTCTGAGGGAGAAAGATGTGACAGTCTGCTTCTATAAAGATTTACAGCCTTGGAAACCCTATAGGGACAGTTCAACTCTGTCCTTTAGGGTAGCCATGAATCGGAATCAACTCGACGGCAATGGGTTTTGGGTGGTGACCTTTTGGAAGCAGATTGCCAGGCTCTTCTTCTGAGGCACCTCTGGGTGGATTCAAACCTCCAACCTTTTGGTTAGCAGGCCAGCACTTCACTGTTTGTGCCCCCTGGGGACTCCTGGTCTACTTTGTGTTAATGGCGAACACTCAAATCAGTCGCCTCAAACCACATGGAATGCGTGGCAGCCTGCTGTGGACAGCGACTCATTTTGTTCAGTTACATACAGACTTTAAAAAATGCCCATTTCTTCCCCCTGGGGTTTATATGGAGAGAGCTGCGGTTCAGAAAGACAAAAGGATGCACGGTTTGGAGGCGAGATGCTATGGTCATTCAGGAGCCCTGTCTGGAGTTGCCTGTTGCGACTCATCTACTGCAGTGAAATGAAATTCATGCCCACCATCCATCTTGCTACAATGTCACGTCAAGTGCAGCTCCAGTCGCGGGGGGCCCAACGGAGAGGCCCACAAATCACCCGCTGGCCCCTCTTGGTCTCTGATTTATGAGCCACGTGTGTACACTGCAGAGAAATAAAGCTCCTGGTTCAGGTATTACCCTGCAAACAAAGTTAGCTGTAGACAGGCTCTGCTCCAAGGAAGCCTGGGAGGCGGGGCCCAGAGAAATGTTTAACTACTGAAGGAGAAAAAAAAATCAAACCAATTGCTGTTGAGTTGACTCTGCCTCATAGCAACTCCATGTATGTCACAGTAAAACTCTCCCATAGGGTTTTCAACGCTGCGACCTTTTGGAAGTAGATCACCAGGCCTTTCTTCCAAGTGCCTCTGGGCAGACTCGAACCTCCAAACATTTGGTTAGTGGCCAAGTGTGTTAACTATTTGTGTCACTTAAGGAATCCAAAAACCAGTTGCCTTTGAGTCGACCCTAATTCATGGTGACCCCATGTGTGTGAGTAGAACTATGCCCCACAGGGTTTTCAATGGCTGATTTTTCAGAAGTAGATCACCAGACCTTTCTTCCCAGGAGACACTGGGTGGGTCTGAACTGCCAACCTTTTGGTTAGCAGCCAAGTGGTTAACTGTTGCACCACTTTGACTTCCAGAGGTGCTTTGTCCTACCTCAAAGTGAAGAACAAACACACTATCCGCCACCCTTCTAAGTTAAGAGGCTGGGAAGCTTAACTTGCCCACAGTTAATGGAAGTAACAGATCTAGGGTCCGATGGTCTCAGAACCCCTTGGACGTCTGCTGAGAAGAAGCCAGCCCTCTCTTCATTATCAGAAAAACCGAGGGAGCAGTGAGGACCCCCTCTCTGTGCTGCCCTGTCCCCTTTGCCTGCATATTGCCAGCTTGGTCCTCAGGAGATGCTCCCAGGCCAGGCACACTCCATTCTCAACCAGCAGTGGGAACGGAGCACACCGGAGCCCTGTCTCCCTCTGATCTGAAATGAGCAGAAATTCCAGAATCGGGCCACCTCATCTCCAAGATGCAAACAGACCACCACTCTGTGTGCTTCAAAGATCTCACCTTGAGGGTCCCGGACAGAGCTGGAGAAAAATGTAGAACAAAATTCTAACTCACAAAAAAAGACCAGACTTACTGGCCTGACAGACTGGAGAAACCCCGAGAGTGTGGCTCCCAGACACCCTTTCAGCTCAGTGATGAAGTCACTCCTGAGGTTCACCCTTCAGCCAAAGATCAGACAGCCCCATAAAACAAAATGAGACTAAAGGGGCACACCAGCCCAGGAGCAAGGACTAGAAGGCAGGAGGCGACAGGAAAGCTGGTAATGGGGGAACCCAAGGTCGAGAAGGGGAGACATGTCATGGGGTTGGTAACCAATGTCACAAAACAATATGTGTACTAATTGTTGAATGAGAAGCTAGTTTGTTCTGTAAACCTTCATCTAAAGTACAATTTAAAAAAAAAAAGATCTCACCTTTAAATGTTCAATTCTACCCTTTCCTTTCTTTTTCACATAATGATTTCTTTTGGAATCAAGGCTATTAACTTCTTTCCAGACCAACTGCTTTCATACAGAAACATAAAGCCTGGTCCCCGAGACATCCCGCGCGGCTGCAGGAGATGCTGCACAATCTTCTGAAAAGCAAAACCCCAGCTCTAACCCAAGTCCAAACTAAACCTGCTGCCAGTGAGCCCATTTTAACTCATAATGACCCTACAGGACAGAGCAGAACTGCCCCATAGGGTTTCCAAGGCTACAATCTCTACAGACGCCGACTGCCACATCTTTCTCCGACAGAGCAGCAGGTAGGTTTGAACCACTGACCTTTCGGTTAGCCGTCAAGCGCTTCACCACTCTACCACCAGGGCTCCTCAACAACCTACTAGAGGAGTGTAATTAATAAAAATTAATAAATAAAATTGGAGCGAGGAGAGACTGCATCAGGAAAACCAGTCTCATCACCTAGCCTTCAACGTCTCTATGGCGTATGAAGAAATACATCAAACCAATTTAAGTGATCAGCCATCAGAGGCTCAGAGTCACGAAGAGATTTGCCCAGGCAACTTACTGAGTCAGAAGTATAATCAGGACTAGAATTGATGTTGCCAGATACAACCCGTTGCCGTCCAGTCGATTCTGACTTATAGCGAACCCATAGGACAGAGTAGAACTTCCCCATAGAGTTTCCAAGGCTGTAGCTTTTGTGGAAGCAGACTGCCGTATCTTTCTCCTGCAGGTGGCTGGTGGGTTTGAACCACTGACCTTTCAGTTAGCAGCTGAGTGCTTACCCACTGCACCACCAGGGCTCCTTAAATACCAATAGCTGTCACATCACCACCCACCGCCCCAGTGAGAAGTCCTTCAGTAGGTTTCACCCAAGGCGGCCTCACCTTCCGGAAGAAGTGCTGCGTGGACACGGCGAGCGCGCCGAAGCCGCAGATGGCTCTCCTGAGCTCCGCCTGCACTAGGCTGAGCTGCCGGGCCTGCCCCTCACACTTCTCCTTCAGCCGCTGCACAAACTGCCGCTCGGCCTCGCGGGCCTGCAGGTCGGGCTTGGGGGGAAACCCATTTCGGGGAGCAGCGGTCCTCTGCTTTGGGTACCCTACAAGGAAACGACAGTGACTTGTGACAACACAGTTGAGCACAGATGTGACGGCAGCTGGTTTCGTTACCACAGGCGGGTTTCGTCAAGAGCAAGAGGCCCACAAAGAACTGCCATGGCTTATCATTTGGGGGATTAGAAAGAAAACAGACAGGGACTTAGAATATTTCCTCCGTTTATATGGTTGTAAGTGGCAAGGTTTCATGCTTGGAAAAAGAGTAATAGATACAATTGGTGAATTGCTTGCAGCTTTCTACATTTCTTCCAGGCATGCTTAGAAAGGTTGAAGCACTTATTTTTTTCTTAAACAAGGTTGTTATGTTATGGCTACCTTACCTTATGTTACATTACATTACATTATGTTACTTTACCTTACAGTACAATATGTTACATTACATTATGTTAGCTGCTGTCAACCGGCCCTGGCTCATGGTGACCCCACGTACAATGGAATGAAAGATTGCCCAGTCCTTTGCCATCCCCATGATGGGTTGTGGGTTGGACCATTGTGATCCATAGGGTTTTCACTGGCTGATTTTCAGAAGTAGATCATCGGGGCTTTCTCCCTAGTCTGTCTCAGTCTGGAAGGTCTGCTGAAAACTGTTCAGCATCAGAGCAACACGCAAGCCTCACTGACAGGCTGGGTGGGTGGTGACTGCGCATGAGGTGCATGGGCCAGGAACTGAACTCCAGTCTCCTGCGTGGAAGGCAAGAATTCTACCACTGAACCACCACTGCCTTCTGAACAAGATGACTCTTTGAAGATGTATAATGGGAATCAATCATGAACCAATACGTGAATCAGTCCAGATCAGAGGCGAAGTATGATAACCTACCCATTACACTCATTGCCATCGAGTCAGCTCTGACTCACAGAGATCCTATAGGACAGAGCAGAACTGCCCCATAGAATTTCCAAGGCTGTCATCCTTAAGGAAGCAGCCAGCAGCCTTTTAATGGGGTATTAGGGAGTAATGCCTATGGCTCCTTCCCTCCCCTTAGGCGGGCACTCTAGTGACCCTTTCTTCAATGTCAAGTTCAAGGCATGTCCCTGATCACCTCTGCTCCAAGGATTTCTGCCTTTACATTCCTACAGCACCAATGTCCTGCCAGGTCCCCCTGCAAAACATTCCCCCAATCTGCCCACCCCACCCCCACTGCTACAGGCCTAGTCTAAGCCGTCATGATCTCTCTCCTTCTAATGGGGGACCCTGCCTCCTCTCGGTCTTTTCCTCTGCAGCAGCCGGAATCTGTGCTGCAGGTGGAAAGCAGCTTGTGGCCTGCACAAACTCTCCAGGTGCTTTCTGCTGCAGCAAGAAGGAAACCCACTCTCCTTACAAAGGCCCTCTAGGTCTGGCTCCTGCCAGGCGAGCGTTAGGTGCCTGGAGGTGCAATGAGGAACCAGTGACTCTGCTTGGCGTTGGGGCAGTGTGGGGGCAGGCTTTAAGGAGAGGCGACTTTTAGGCTGAAGACTGAAGAGGAGAGGCAGTGCAGGAGGACACAGCAGAGAGAAAAGCATTCCAAAATGGTCAGCGGTCCACGGGTAAGCAGGAGCCTTCCTGGGAACTGCTGTCCCTCTAGTGTGAGACTCAGCCTGAGCTCACACGCAGCTGGTGGCCCCCCAAGACCTTCTGTGGTTAACAGTGGACCTCCATTCCCAAGACACAGGCTTTCCTTTACTCAAGCAAATCGCATCTGAGGCACGAGACATTGACATCAACCAACACGATCATGAACAAGTTTAATATTTTAAATGTCCCTTCCTCCTTTTTTGTCTTTTTTTCCAGAGACTAACACATACGACTGAGCCCCTGGGTGGTGTAAATGGTCAACGGGCTTGGCCGCTAACCAAAAGGTTGGAGGTTCGAGTCCACCCAGAGAGGCTTCGAAAGAAAGGCCTAAAAAATCAGCCACTGAAAACCCTATGGAGCACAGTTCTACTCTGGCACACATGGGGTTGCCATGAGTCAGAACTGACTGGACAGCAAACTGGTAACATATATTACAAATCAAAACATGGTAGGGAAAAAAAAAAGAAAAGGTAGCCTCTTCAGTACCTGATACACTGATACATAGCAGAGGAATAAGCTTGAAAAGACACAAGTGATCTCATCTTTTAAGGGGGAAGGTGGTTAACTGATCTAGATACTTCTGATTGTTAACTGAATGACCCGAAAACCAAATATCAAACCCGTTGCTGTCAAGTTGATTCCAACTCATAGTGACCCTATAGGACAGGGTAGAGCTGCCCGATAGGGTTTCTAAGGCTGTAATCTTTATGGAAGCACACTGCCACATCTTTCTCCTGCAGATCGGCTGGTGGGTTCGACCTTTCAGTTAGCAGCTGGGCACTTAATTACTGCACCACCAAGGCCAATTTAATGATAACTATGCTAAATTTAATTAAATTCTTCCTCCTCTTAAAAAGTCGTCAGAGATTTTCTTCTCAAATAGGAGGTGATAATTGAAATATGACCTCACATGTATAGATCTTAAATTATTATGGCTTAATGGAATAGTAGAATGTGAAATCACTGCTTCTTACAACTTTATTATGCATTCTGCTGTGTTTATCAGAGTAGGGTTCATAATGGTCCAGAAAATTCACTTGCACATAGTTGGCAAATTAACTTTAATATTTACTTCAGTTTAGCATTCTCAACATTGGCAATAAAATAAAAATAACTTACCAAGAACATATCACCAACAAAAGGTGAGAAATTTTGAGCTATGGTGGATTTTTTCATGATTATTGTGGCTGATGATTTTATAAAACACTCCAGCATTTTAATTAATGTCTTGAGGTACCAGCTGCCTGACACCATTACAATAGAAGGCATTTCTTCTAGAAATCTACAGGAAATAATTCAGCATACTTTCAGTTCAGTGAATTAAAGCTAATTGCAATCTGTGGCACATCAAGTCGCCTATAAGCTTGTGGACCTTAGTAAGTACCCGTACTGCTGTATATTTTGGCCTTCAGATTTATCCCTGGGTGGAATGGCCAGAAGGACCTACTATCATCATCACCGTTGTTGCTGAATACCATCGAGTTGATTCCCACTCATAGTGACCCCAGGTGACAAAGTAGTACTGCCCCATAAGGTTTTCTAGGCTGTAATCTCTCTGGGAGCAGACTGCCATCTTCTCCAGTGAAGCCACTGGGTGAGTTTTAACCACTAACCTTTTGTTTTGCAGCTGAGCTCTTAACCATTGCCCCAGCAGGGGACCTTCATTGATGTTGTTTTTGTTGCTAGGAACCATGGAGTCGATTCTGACTCATAGCAACCCCAAATGTCACAGCAGAACTGCCCCATACAGTTTTCTAAGCTGTAACCTTTACAGAAGCAGATTGCCAGGTCTTTCTCCCACGGAGCTGCTGCGTGGGTTTGAACCGCCAAGTTTTCAATTAGCAGCCAAGGGGTTAACCTCATCATCATTAGGCTAGCAATTATGCTCAATGGTAAACAGACAACTTCTCAGGATTCACTGAAATCCTCCTTTTGGTGCTTATTTTGATATTGACGTCATTATTTCATTACTTTCATTCACACACTCAAAATCCCAGTGTTCTCTGAAATGCCAGCACACTGGTCTGCATTTGTAATACTGGGACCACCAAGAAACTGGTGTCCTGAGCCAAGACAGGGGGTCCCCTGACAACGCCAGCTTTTGGGATCAACACATCAAGTGCACACTTAGTCCTTTGTGACAACGAATTATCTAGGAACCAAGAACTGTTTGGGACTCCTGGTTGGTTGGACATCTGATAACCCAGTCACTTTACCAGCACAGACCAAGGCTCATGCCAACTGTGAAGACTTTAGAAAGGAAATACTGAAGAAAAAGTTCTCCATTGCTTTTAGTTGGAATGGGTGCTGCCATTTTCCAAATATATCAAATTGAACTTTGCCTAGGACCAACAATCACTTACCGTCAGCTGTCTTTCCCAAAAAACAGTATTCTTTCTTGTGCCATCAGTTTCTAATTCCCTCTATATACTTCTCAACTCCCTGAAGGATTGTTCTGTCAGTGACTTTCCTATCTGCCCAGGGGTCAGCCCATTCCCAGATGGTGTATGACGCCAGCAGCCCAGGATCCTGCCTCATCCTGGGGACAGAGAGTTGATGGACACACAGCCAGCTTCCTCTATTTCAGAACCATTAAAATTAAAGTGGGTTGACCTTTTGGTCCCATGTAGATGGTTTGTTTAGTGAAGCATCCTACATATAGGTAATGTCCTTTATTTTGTGTGCCAATCTGTTATTTCTCTAAAAGGTGATCTCCAGGGATAACTTTGGTTCCAAGTTTAAAGGATATGTCAGGGCGATAATCTTAGGGAGTCCTCTGGTCCAGTAAGTCTGGACTTTTTAAGAATTTGAGTCCTGTTCCACATTTTTCTCCCCTTCTATCAGCGTCCATCCATTGTGCCCTTAATCAGAAATGTCGGTAGTGGTAGCTGGGCACCATCTAGTTCTTACAGTCTCAGGATAGATGGGGCCGTGGCTCGTGTAGGCTATTAGCCCTGTAGACTTGGTTCTTCTCTGAGACTTTGGTTTCCTTCTTACTTTTTTGCTCCTGACGTGTCAAAGTGGAACCTAATTTACTGTGTAAACTTTTGCCAAAAACACAATAAAATACTATTTAAAAAATAAATAAGTAAAGGGGGTTCTCTGTCTGAGAGGTCCGGCAAAGGTGATATCATATAATCACAAAGTGCTTGCATAACTTACAAAGTACTGGTCAGGAAGTGATTAACCTGTACTGTTGTGACCTGTTGCTGTTGGTTTACAGTCAAGTCGATTCTGTCTGTGCAGAGTAGAACTGCTTCATAAATAAATACAGATCAAAGTTTATTAGTGGTTACCAGGGGCAGGAAGGAGAGGAAGAAGAGGAGCCATTGTAAGTTTCTGTTTACGGTGATGAGAATTTTGGCATCAATTAAGGGTAACTGTTGCACAACAGATTAATGTAATTGATATTAGTAAGCTATACAGAAG